ACGCCCCTAAAGGAAAAATTCTCAAAAAAAAAAAAAAAAACCCTCACACTGGAAGCATGTGCGTGCGTGTCCAAGATCCCAAGAGGAAAATGGAAGAGGAGGGGTTGTGGTGTGATCATCCCCCCAGGGTGTGATTTCTCACTTTCTGTCTCTTTCCAGCAAGCGCATGTGCCATATAGCAAAAATCTCTCTTAAAAAAAAAAAAAAACCTACGATTTTGCAAAAGATCATAACCATTTTGCTCACTATACGATTTTTGCAACTTTTCTTTTTTTTAATTATTTAGTTTGATTTATTTATTCATTTATTTTAATTTGACCAGAGAGAGATACAGAGAGAGAGAGAGGGAAAGTGAGAAAACAAGCTGCCAAGTCCGGGGCTCAAACCATTGTTGGCCATGTGGGAGTGTCCAGCACCTTAACCACCATGCCACCTGCTGGCTCCCTATTTTTGCAATTTTTCTATCAATCCACAATTATTTCAAAATTAAAACATACTCACATACTCCTTAGCTGAAGCCTCAAAGTTGAAGTTCGGTTTAATATTTTGGCCTCTGCCTTAAAAGGACAGAGCTTTTCCATCTCTGAGTGAATGGGCCTGTGAGACTCTCTCAGAAGAGTGAAGAGGAAAAAGATGGGAGCAGAAGGACTGTGGCTTTTAAGGGGCTCAGCGCCAGGAGCCAGAAGGACTACAGCTGCTCCACTCCAACAGTGGCACCATCTGCCCGGAACCAGACTGAGTCTGGAAGGTTCTGGAAGCCAGAAGGACTGAAGTAGGTGCAGGAGGTAGGGAAGGGCTGAGGGGAAAGGGAGAAACTGAGGACTCACGCTTCCCAGAAATCTTGATCTGTCCCAGGCCTGGCTGGGGTCTGCGTTCCAGGAAGCCACAGCGTTCGCCCTCGGCACAAGTGGTCACAGTCTCTTTGCAGGAGCCGGGGCCTCCTCCACAGTCGTAGCAGCGCATGCGGTTTCCTGGCAGGAGAGGAGAGGTTGGTCAGGGCCCTCAGGGGAGCTGGCTGACAGAGGGGAGGTTGCCTGGATGAGAGCACCTTGGCCCTAGCCTTACCCAAGACAACCCCCAGCAGGGTGCTGAGCAGGATCCCAGCAAAATGGGGCTTCATTGCCTCTCCCTTGTGGGCAGCAGCTCTCCCTCCCGCCCACCCCCCTCCCTGGCCCTGCTCCACCTGCCTTATATCCCCCTTGCCTCGCACTTTATAGGGCTGTAAAGAGGGAGGGAAGAGTCTCCCCTAGCAGGCACCAGGGGCCTCAATGGGGACAGGGAGGGGCCCATGGCATGCTCTTAGCATCCGCCAGTCTCCAAACTCCTTCATCTTCAGCGTCAGTTCCCCCCTCCCCCAGGTCAAACGTTTATTTACAAACGTATCTAGTATGCTGAGTTTAAGAGTTTGGTCCATTTTTCAGAGATTGTGACTACACCCCTTAAAATGGTCTTCCTAACTATTAAATGGATGAATTAAAGCATCCTTATTTCTTTTTTTAAAAAAGAATGATTTATTTTAATTACTCATTCATTTTTTATTTTAATTTGACTAGAGACACACACACACACAGAAGGAAAGTAAGAAAGCAAGCCACCAGGTCCAGGACTCGAACTGTCTGTCTGTGGTCAGCCATATGGGAGTGCCCAGCACCTTAACCATCATGTCACCTGCTGGTCCCTAAAACCTCCTTACTTCTTTTCTTTTCTTCTTCTTTTTTCTTCTTCTTCTTTTTTTTTTTTTTTTTTTTTTTTTTTTTAGGGAGTGGATGCATGCGCTTGCCAGACAGACAGAGAGAAGCCACGCCGCAATCCCTTCTCCTCCATTCTCTTCTCGGGATCTTGGGCACGCATGCACATGCGCCCGGCGTGAGTTTAAGTCACCGGGTCTGGGACTTGAACCACGGTCGACTACATGGGAGTCCAGAGACATAGCCATTACGCCAGCTGCTGGTCCCAAATCCTCCTTACTTCTTAAGCAGTTGTCTTACTGTAGAATCGGGTGCAGCAAATCCAGGTCCACAGTACCGTCAGCATAATGAGTAATCGCTGCTTTCCATTGAAGATGGCAGATTCTTCTCCAGGCCAGCTCACAGTGGCTCCTGCGGGCCACGGAGGCCATGAACCCCCGGACGCTCTGTCCAGCGTGGCGCTGCGGGAAGCTCTGCTGGACACGCAGAGTCCGAGGGCGGAAGAAATGGTGGCACCACGGCGAGCCTTCCTTTTCTCATGACCTTGTTCTCGCGCTCCCTCAGAGTCAGCTCTTTCTTTTTAAAAAAAGAATTCTTTTCTTTAACTTTATTATTTATTTATTTCATTTTAATCTGGACAGAGACGGACATAGTGAGAGAGAAAGCGAGAAAACAAGCTGCCAGACCCAGGACTCGAATCACGGTTGGCTATATGGGAGTCCAGCACCCTTGGTGGCAATCCTAAAACTGTGGCCCAGAACTCCTGGGAGTCCCTAAGACTCTTTCAGAGGTTCTCAAGGGTCTTTCTTTTCTTATTTATTTATATTTAAGAATTTTTAAAAGTTATTTAATTTTTTTGTTTTGTTGGTTTTATTACAGCCATGCTCACTGGGGTTAGGTGATATCCCAACTGGGTCCGGGACGTGAACCGCGGTCGACTACGTGGGAGTCCAGCGACATAACCATTACGCTAACTGCTGATTCCCAAAGTTATTTAATTTTTTTAAAGAATTATTTATTGGGGCCAGCAGTTGACATTATCGACCGCGGTTTGAGTCCCTGACCGGGTGGCTTAAACTCACGCTAGGCACGTGTGCGTGCGTGCCCAAGATCCCGAGAGGAGAATGGAGGAGAAGGGATTGTGGCGTGACCATCCCCCTTGGGGGCTGATTTCTCACTTTCTGTCTCTCTGTCTCTGTCTTTCTGACAAGTGCACGTGCTCTATAGCAAAAAACCTCTCTCTCTAAAAAAAAGACAATTATTTATTTAATTTTATTTATTCATTCTTTTTGTTTGTAATTTAACCAGAAAAAGAGAGAGAGAAAGTGAGAAAGCAAGCTACCAGGTCCAGGATCCAAACTGTGGTCAGCCATGTGGGAGTGTCTAGCACTTTAACCATCGTGTCACCTTCTGGTCCTAAAAGTTAACTAATTTTGTTATTATTTTTTAATTTGACTAGACAGAGAGAGAGAGAGAAAGGGAAAGTGAGAAAGCAAGCCACCAGGTCTGGGACTCAAACAGCGGTTGGTCATGTGGGAGACTAGCACCTTAACCACCAACCCACCTACTGGGCTACAATCTTCCTTTCTATCTACACATCTATGCGAGGCCAGATTTTCTTAGTATACTTCTTCTTTTTTTTTTTTTTAAGACAACTAGATATTTTTTCTTATTATTTTATTTAACTTTATTTATTATTATCATTATTATTTTCCAGTTTGATCAGAGAGAGAGAGAGAGGAAGTGAGAAAGCAAGCCACCAGGTCCGAGACTTGAACCGTGGTCGGCCATGTGGGAATCCAGCGCCTTTAACCACCCTGCCACTTGCCAGCCCTGAGATTTTCTTAGTATACTTCAACCAAACAGACGGGCTGCAGGAGCAGATACGAAAGCCCAGTCATAGTGTATTAAGCCAGACGTTCAATAGATTTGCAGAACTATAAAGTCATGCCACTCCTCTCGCTGTGCTATTGAGAAACATCAGTTCTTTTTCATGAAGCTATAGTCTTCTAACATGTCGTAGATTTATTACTTTTAGGCTCTCTGGAGTCTTCAAAACCACAAGTCAATCCACAACTTTTAAGAGTGTAGAGAGATCCTGAGATCAAAGAGTTTGAAAAGTGCTGCTCAGCAGACACCTGTGTCCCCATGCCGCCAATCCCTCTCCCTGGCCTTCCTCTCCCTAGGACATTCCTGCCCTGGTTTCCCAGAGGTAGCCCTCCTCCTTGCCAGTGTCTTTAACCCCACACTCTCCCGCCCCAAAACCCTATTCAAACCTGCCTTTCTAGTCTTTCCAACCCACCCCCCACATCCCAGTGGAAGCACATCCACCCCTGCAGCCCCACGCGTGATTAATTCTCTCCAGCAAGGCAGTAAAGCTGGAAGGGGTAATTAGGGGGTAGGGACAGTTGACGTTGAGGGGGGATCAAAGGGACCTGAGGTTGGGTGGGGTCCACACTTACTGAGCTGGGCTTGCGGGTGTGGGTGTGGGTGCGTGAGTGTGGGTGTGGGCAGGTGGGGGTGCTGTTGGTTTCCTACTTAAACAGATGTAGGCCAGGGCTGCTTAGGAGGGTGACCTTGAGAGACTGAGGGGGAAAGACAGAGAGCAAAGACAGGGAGAAGGTTGAGAGAGCAGAGAACAGCTTGAGACAGGCGAGGGAGGAGGGAGGGGAGTAGGAGGGGAGGTGACAGACACAACTGGGAGCTGCAGAAGGCAGACAGCTGAGTTACAGAGACAGACGTATTGAGAGAGCAAGAAGACCCCCAAGGCACGGGCAGCCTCGCAGGAGGCAGGGCGGGTGTGAGAGCTGTGGGGTGCTGGAGCGAGGGGAGGGCACCTGCATCAGGGCTGTTGAAATCTGGTCCCGTCCTGGTTCTGCCCCCACCCCAGACTCACTCCCTAGGTGTGTCTGTTTTACTGGTCCCTCCCTGTCCTGCCCAGATGCTCCAACCCAACAACTCTTAGGATCACATTCTTCCAGACTCCCGAGCAGGGGCCCAGCCATGGGTACCTCCAGCATCTTCCTCTGCGGCCTGTTCTTGTGTGGGGCCCTGGGTAAGGGTGGGCTGGGGAAACGCAGGGGGCAGGGGCATGTGGAAGACCCTGGGGGCTGGAGGGTTGAGCGGGCTGGAAGAGGCGGGGTGGGGAGAGAGGCTTCAGGGAGCCCACCTTAGCCGTAAGGTGGAAGAGAAGTCTCCTCTCAAAGGCGTTGGAGAATGACTTCCCCCCCGAGCTGTCCCCCTACCCCTCATCTCACCTGCTTTTGTGCTGGGCCCCCTGGTCCACGTCAGTTCTAATTTCTGTTTTCTTCTCTGTCTCTGGCCACTTAACTGACATCCACTCCCATCTATGCCTCCGCCCGGCTCTGGCTTTTGTGTCACTTTCTACGTCCATCTCTGGTTTCCTCGGCTTCTGCCCACGTCTGAGTCTCTCTCAACCCTTGTCCCTCCGACTCCTGTCTCTATCTCTCTCCCTGCACCCTCTGGTCCCCTCTCTGCTCCTCTTATTCTACCGTCTGCCCTTCCCTCTCCGGGCCGCCGTCTCCCACTCCCATGTTGTGTCCCCTCTGTGTACCCGTCCTGGACCTGGGCTCTGCCTCTCACCTGAATTCGCCTCTCCCTCTGCCCCGCTCTCTGCTCACCCAGGAGGTCTCACCTCCTCTGCTCAAGGACGGCTCCGCTGTTACACCTGCAGCTTCGCCAAGCCCTGCGACCCTGTGCCCACCGAGTGTCAGGACGGTGAAGCCTGTGGCATCAGTACTGGCATCTCCGGTAGGACTCTGGCCCGGTAGCCCCCGTCCAGGTCCCTCCCTCCCTCCCTCCATGCTGCCTGTCCTTCCGCCCCACTCAGCATGTCCCCTCTGTCCCACAGAACAGAGTGAGGTCATCCAGCGGAAAGGCTGCCTCCCAAAGGCCCAGTGCGCCCTGCCCGGCCATGTCACCTACTGGTCACACACCTACGCTCTGCGGCACCGCTGCTGTGAGCAGGACCTGTGCAATGCTGCCGGGCCGCCACCACTCCCCGGCCTCCTTCTCACCACCCTGGTCCTCCTCGCAGCCGGCTTGGCCTGGGGAGGCCACCTTCTCCACTAGCCTCACGTGGACCTGCAGCCCTTCAACCTGGGAGCCCTTCGCCGCCCCAAGCCTGGGAGACGCCTGCACAGACGCTTCTGAGACGCTCAAGAACTCGATTTTGTACCTTTAGCCTCACAGCACCTCCGAGACCCGATTCCTGTGGGCACTCCCCAGAGCCCAGCTGCACAAAAACCACCTGTTCTGCGTCTTTTGTCTCCCTGGGTGCTGTTGCTGGATCCTCCCTCAGGCCCAGGGCTCGGGCGAGGCAGGCATTGCAAAATAGGGGCTGTGCGTCACAGGCACGGGACGGGACGAAGGGGACACAGGTATGGTGAAGGGAGCCTCCCCAGGAAAGACTGATTCGTAGGTTGGGGAGCAGGAAGGAGGGCTGGGGAACTGCCAAGAGCACGTTTTATAAAGGGCTCTCTGGGGCCGGCCAGCGGCGTGGTGGTGAAGGCAGCTAGCTCTCACACAGTCGACTGTGCAGTTCGAGTCTCAGATCCGATGACTTGAAAGACACTGGGCACATGTGCGTGCCTGCCCAGAGTCCCGAGGAGAATGGAGAAGGGATTGCAATGTGGCCATCCCCCGGGAGGTGATTTCTCACTTTCTCTCTCTCTGGAGAGTGCATGTGTCCTGTAGCAAATTAAAAAAAAAAAAAAAAAAAAAAAAAAAAATGCCTTGGGAGTCCAGTCATGCTGCAGCGTGTGTGTGCGTGTGTGCGTGTGCACGGGCATGCACTCTAAGAGCAGATAACAGCCGCCGGATGGGCTGGGCTGAAGTGCTGGAGCCCGAACCCTAGCTCTGTGTCATGAGCGTCCTGCTTTCTGCCAATAGCTTAGCTTAAGTCACTGCAGCGTGAAGGCTTTAGGCAAGACCTGAGAAAGCTTTTCCCCAGCGAGGCCCAACCTTCGGCAGAGACACGGAGGAGATGCTGGCACGGGCGTGGCTGCGAGCACGGCTCGCTTCTCCCTGAGACCGGGAGGGGCCGAGCTGGGAGCATCGCTGCCCACCCTGCTTCTCCAGCCCAGGCTTGCTCAGGGCGTAGAGATGCCGGCCCAGCACATGCCCCACAGGGAACCCCGCCAGCCAGACACTTCCCTCTGTGCCAGGAGATAAGGCAGGAGCCCTGGGTGCAGTGGAGGGCAGCGTGCCCGGGGTGCCGGACAGGAGATAAGCTGCCGTGCGCTCCAAATACCACAATGGCACGTCACGGGGAGGTGTGGGTGCCGAGGATACGGAGGGAGCCAGGCGGGGGTCGAGCGGGCGCCCCATCCTGACTCGGTTCTCTCCCTTCCCATCTAAGGAAGCCTGGGGGCTCGCTCCCTCCCAGGCCCCTCCCTCGCGAGAATGAACACAGGCTGGAGGTGGAGGTGTCTGTTTTAATCTGGAGGCAAGTTGGGTCTTCTTTCGGTTCTCCCCGTTTCTCAATTCTCCCACTTTGTGCTTCTACTTCTATCTCACGGCCCAGCTCTCTCCAGAGACTCTGACTCGGGTGTCTTCCCTTGGGTCTTCATCAGCTCCCCTCGTTTGCCCTTAGGTTCCCTTAGGGCCGATTGCCGGCGTCGATCCAGAGTCCAGTTCCTGTGTCCTTCCTCCCACGTCCTGGGCTCCACACCCCACCAGCTACTCCACCACACTGTGGGCTTAGGCCCGTGCCTCACTGGCTGCCCCAAGGCGGAGACCGCGCCTTTCATTTATTTATTTATTTATTTATTGAGAGGTTTTTGCTATAGAGAGACAGAGAGACAGAAAGCGAGAAGTCACCCCCCAGGGGGGATGGCCACGCCGCAATCCCTTCTCCTCCATTCTCCTCTCGGGATCTTGGGCACGTACGCACACGTGCCCAGCGTGAGTTTAAGCCACCGGGTCCAGGGCTTGAACCGTGGTCGACTACGTGGGAGTCCAGCGACATAGCCATTATGCCAACTGCTGGTCCCGGACCTTGCCTTCTTGTAGGTGACATCACAAAAAAGTGCTCCTCCTTCCCTCCAGCCCCCGCCCACCCTGCCCAACCCCCAGCTTGGTGGCTGCTGAGGCCCGCTGAACCGTTGTCACACTCTCAGCCCCTCCCTGCTGGCAGAGATGCTCTGGGAAGCCGTCAAGGTGCCGGGTGACCAGGGAGACAGCAGGTCACACTCCCCAGCAGCTGTCACGGAGATCACCTGACCTTGTGGGCAAGTGGGCTGTGGGGTTTGTGAAGCAGAGACACAGTGAGGGTCTCTAAGGACACCCATGCCCAAGCCAAACCCAGGTTCCCCTCCCAGCCTCAGGCCCCCGGGGTTCCGCCTCCACCTTCCAGCTGTTCCTCACCCGCGGTGGGCCAGGTGGATGTTCTCATAGACCTGGATTTCAGGCTTGAACTGAGGAGTCGCGGCGTCTGCGGGGAAAGCCACCAGAAAACTCAAGAGCTGTTTCCACCCACTCCCCTAATGAGATAGGGTACCACACGGAGAAGACGTACCCCAGGGAGGCCACCGTGAACCCAGCCTTTCCTCGCACCCTCACTCCCTCGTCCTCCCTGTGGGAGGGAGGAACTCACCTATGCCCTGAGCCCCCTGGGCCCTCTGCCTCCAGAGCGCAACGCTGAGAGCCAGGATGGTGACCGCCTGGCCCGCCGTCAGCAGCACCATCAGGATCCGGGGCGCGTCCCATCCCGCAGCGGAGGCACAGGGGGTGGGGGAGGCTTCCATGGGGCCTGCAGACGAGGGTATGGAGAGAGGCAGTGAGGGGCTGTCCCTGCGACCCAAACAATACCTCCTCCCTAGTCTTGTGGGAAGAAAAGAAGTCTTGGCTGCTGGTCTGTCCCACCAGAAAGTTGGTTTGACCAAGCTCCTTCTCTGTGATGGGTTCAGTCAAACAAGAATGAAAGAGAAACAAAAGCCCCTCCATTGGCAATGAGGCAATAATCTTCTCCACTAGAAGTCACCCCACCCCGGCCTGCTTCGGCTCCTATGTCACCTCCTTCCCTAACCAGCAGGCGCTTCCAGCATACCCCTTCCCCTCCTGCCTGGTTTACCTGCCAGGCTGAAGCTGACCCCTTTGCTCTGAGGCAGGACGCAGCGGATGGTTCTTGGTCTGCGGCCTCTGGGCTCGGGAAGCCCTTCCCCAGGACACATCAGGAGCAAGGCAGCCCCGTCGCCCCAGAAGGGCTGCACACGGCCCCTCACGGAACCCTTCCCCTCCTGCCAGGTCACGGAGTCCAGGCGTCTGGCGGGGACCACAGAGCACAGGAGGACAGAGCAGAGGGATCCATCTGCAGCTCTCGCAGAGAGCTGGGTTCCTGCAGGGAGAGAGGGCCCCTCAGTTCTTTACCTGGGGTTCTGGGGGTCCCGGGGCCCGTGCCTGCACACCCGGCTCACCTCTCAGCACAGAGACATCATACACCCTCCAGTTCTGGAACTTGTGCTGCTGACCCAGCACGGCGCACCAGTACCGCCCGGCGTCTCCCTCCTTGGACCCCTCCAGCCACAAAGAGTAGTTCCCCAGCAGTTTGAGTCTGGACTCCTGTCCGGGTTTTCCAGGGTCTGGGGCTGACCTGGCCACTGGGACTTGGGCCACCAGGATGGTGGCGGAGCCTGGTGCAGGGCTATGGAACCAGGACAGGAGTTCATCCCCGTGGAGGGTGGGTGGTGAGGGACAGGGCAGCTCCATCGTGTCTCCCAAGGCCACAAAGACAGTCTGGATGCTGTCTGTAGGAGGAAGGTTGTGCGAGCTCAGAGACTCCCGTCAGACTAACAAGTCCTCCTTCACCTCCAGTTCCTGGCTCCCAGCCCACTGAGGGGAGCTGAAGAAGAAGGCTGGACTAATCAGCAAATTTTTCTATTTCTTTATTTCTCCTTTTCTGGGACATTTTCTCTTTTTTTTTTTTTTTTTTTTAAGGTTTTTTGCCATAGGGTGCATGCATTCTCCAGAGAGAGACAGTGAGAGGAAAAGTGAGAAATTGGTCCCTGAGGGGATGGCCATGCCAAAATCCCTTCTCCTTTCTCCTCCTGGGATTTTAGTCACCCACACACATGCACCTAGCTCGAGTTTCAAGTTGCTGGGTCTGGGACTCAAACCGCAGTCGACTATGTACGAGTCCAGCAACCCAACTACTGTGCCATCTGCTAGTCCCTCTGGTCAAATTTTTAAAAAGATGATAATAAATCTGGGGTCGACAAGTGGCACAGTGGTTAAAGGCACTGAACTCCCACATGGCCGACCACGGTTCAAGTCTCAGACCTGGTGGTTTGCTTTCTCACTTTCTCTCTCTGTCTCTGACCAAACTGGAAAATAATAATGATAATAATAATAAATAAAGTTAAATAAAATAATTGTTTTTTTTAAAAAAGATTATAATGAATCAATAAAATTAAATGAATAATTCTTCAGTTATTTTCAAGCCACTGGGTTCAGGACTCAAACTGTGCTCAACCATGTGGGAATCCGGTGCCTTAACCACCAAGCCACCTGCTAACCCTCCCCTTTTTTCAAATTGCCAGAGAGAGAGAGAGAAATCACTTCCAATGAGATATGGTCACCCCCAATCCTTTTTCCTCCATTTCTCCGATCCATCCGGATTTGGGGCATGCAGACACACATGCCAGGTGTGTTTTTCAAGCGACAGGCCAGGACTCAGCTCCAGTCAGCCGTGTGAGATCCAGCTTTCGGGCTACGGGGCTGGCCCTGTTTCCTACGAGGATTCGACATGACCTGAACTCTGTCGCCTCGGGTCTTCCCCGTATCAGAGGCAGGGGAGGTCGCTGGGTAAACCTATGTGGAATCAGGTGCCTCCCAGGAGTAGTCCCTCCCCAACATGCAGTAGTTCCAGCTTCTCCCATCCTGCTCCTTACCTGCAGCAGCCCGGGGGGCCCCACACAGGGACAGGAGGAGGAGTAAGACTGCCATGGTGAGAGCCTGCCAAGTTCTAAGACCCAGTGTCCCTTGACAGGAAACAGGGCCCCGATAAGGGTTCATGCTCCCCGGTCTGGAGTGACATGGGTCTGCCACAGGGATGGGAAAGCCAGGAAGATAAAGCCCAGCTGCGTATGTGCAGGGCCAACATGCCCACCAGCTTTCTGTCCTGGGAGCAAAGGAGCGAGGCCTCTGAAAATGACCTCCTCACCCCTCTGACTCCACGTCTGTGGAGGGATTCAGATCGGAGGCTTTCCACGCTAAGAAACCTGCGTAAAGACGTGCCAGTGTTGTGTGGTGATGTGAGCCTGCACCCTCCACCCACGCCCAGCTCCTCGCCAGCTACCTCAGCCTCTTGGCATCCAGCGGAGGGTCCCAGGCTCACACCGGGCACCACGGGCCTGGCCGTGACACTCAGGAGCCAGCTGGCCTGCACATCCACCTGTGCCTGGGCTCCCAGACCCTTGGTCCACTGCCTGCAACCCTGGGCCCCTTTGCAATGATGCCTTTATACTTGAAAATAAAACCTTAAAGCACTCGGGGTGGTGGGGGGGAGAAACCTGCATAGTGGGCTAGCAACACGGGCTGGTGGCTCACGAACCCTCCATGAGTACACTAGATCCCACATGGCTCACGCAGTCTGAGTCCTCGGCCCAGCGGACTGAGAAACGGGCAGGCATGTGTGCATGTGTGCCCAGATCCTGAAAGGAGGGACGGATGGAGAAGAGACTGTGGTGTGACCCCGTCCCCGGAGGAGTGCTTTCTCCTCTCCCTCTCTCTTCCCCTCTCTGGCACTCACCCTCTAACGTGTGTGTTCACATGTGCGTGTGCACACACACGCGCGTGCACACACCTCCACAGAAAGGGTCTCGGATGCCCTCTTGCCTGTCAGTCTGGAAGTACATTCTGTGTTTTCTCTTCTGCCCCAAGAGATGTCAGCCATGTGCGAAGGAACTGTCTTCCTGCTGGTCTCCATGGAATTCAGCACGAGATTGTATAATATGTCCAGAGAGTGCTCCATAAATGATTCAAAATGACTTTCTCTGTGGTTGCCTAGCACACCACTGACTTACTACTCAAGGAGGACAGCAGCAGCCTAGAGAACCCACTGACTCATCCCTCTGCCCCAGGCAGGACTCAATAGTTTGTTTGTTTGTTTGTTTGTTTGTTTATTCATTCATTCATTCATTCATTCATTCATTTATTGGAGAGGTTTTCGCTATAGGGCACATGTGCGCTCGCCAGACGAGAGAGACATAGAGACAGAAAGCGAGAAATCACCCCCCAGAGGGGATGGTCACGCTGCAATCCCTTCTCCTCCATTCTCCTCTTGGGATCTTGGGCACGCACGCACACTCACCCGGCTTAAGTTTTAAGCCACCGGGTCCAGGACGCGAACCATGGTCGACTACGTGGGAGTCTAGCGACATAGCCAT